GGAGATTCTGACGCTCATCTTCCCCCACGCACCGCCACACATCAAGAGCCTCATTTTAAACGAACTAGAGCACTTTTCCGGCTCAACGAACAAGGCGCTAGTAAGAGAAGCAGTGCGCGCTATTGGACGGTGCGCACAGACGGACTCGTCTGCGGCTCCGAGGTGTCTGCGTTTACTACTCGGGCAGATCACGAGTCTTGATGGAACTTTAGCAGCGGAGTCTCTGACGGTGATTCGGCACTTAATCCAGCAAGACCCCCAGGGTCATGTAGGCACAGTGGTTCGTTTGGCGAAGAATCTTGACTCAGCAACAGACCCTCAGGCAAGAGCAACCATCATATGGCTCGTGGGAGAGTTCTCAGGCCTCGAAGGTGAGGACAACATTGCGGCAGACGTGATGCGGATTCTTCTCAAGGATTTCGCGAGTGAGGCAGAGGTAGCCAAGGGACAGATCCTCCTTCTCGCGGCAAAAGTCTACCTACATCACGTGAACCGACAAAACGAGAACAAGGGCGAAGATGATGCGCCCGTACCGGTCCAGGACGACCACCCCGTGGCAAAACTATGGGACTATGCGCTATTGCTGGTTCGTTACGACACATCGTACGACCTTCGCGACCGAGCCCGGATGTACCGAGCCCTTCTCTCCGTACCCCAACTAGCCACCTTGATGTTGCTAGCACCAAAGCCCGCGCCTCAAGCCCCGAGCCCATCAGAGACGCGCAAGGGCTTTATGCTCGGCTCATCAACGCTTGTACTGGCCGGTGGAGGTGGCATTCACGGATTGCGTGGTTACGATGCTCTTCCGGAATGGGTAGCGGAGGGATCAGAACCCGACAGGCGATTACGAGAGACAGAAGCAACATCGAGCTACGGTGAGGATAAGAACGTGCCGGCAAGTCAAATGCTCGACAGCGCAGTCAGAGCGGCGCCAACAAGGACCAACGGTCTCGGTGCCGTTGTGGGTGCTGGTGCTGCAAGCGGTGTTGGTGTCAAGACGCTCGATGACTGGCTCGCCGAAGAAGAGAAAGAAGAGCAGCAGGCAGCTTTTCACATGGAAGAGGAAGAGGATGACGAGGACGATGAAGAAGAGGAGGAAGAAACAGACGATGAGGACGAAGAGGAAGAGGATGATGACGATGAAGAGGAAGACGACGAAGAGGAGGAGAGCAGCGACGACGATAGCGAATGACAAGTACGTCGTCGCGTGCGAATCGACCCGCAGCCAGAAACTGCTGTCGTCGACCGGTAGTATATAATTAAATAACATACCTTCTTGCACTTTGGTCCAAAGCTTCTGTCAGGTGACGATTATCGAGTGCGTGGTTGTTTTGACAGTGTGGGCTAATTCCACCACTGATCAGATTCGCAAGGGAAATAGAGGACTACCAACTTGGAGGTAACTCATCGCATAGCAATCAGCTGTTTGGGGCAAGACTCGGGACAGATTGGCGAAATAGCAACGGGTGGCTTTCTTCACTGGCATGACAGCATTCCTCCAATGCTTCGGCGAGATTGGTTGCCCCGACTGTCTGGGTACAGTACTACGCATGCTGAGTCGCAGTTGCACACACAGATACGTTAACATTAGTCTTGGTGGATGCCACGCGAGCGGCAGGCATATTATCCAAGCGAACCGAGAGACCCGAACTATCACCTCTCGGATCCTCCTAGGCCTCTAACACGCCCAGTGATTCTGGCGGGACTCGGGAAAAGGTCGAATGATCCTTGTCGATATCTCGGTTAGGTGTTCGGGTGGCCGCCTGTCAGCATCGCTTAGCCCGTGTTATTCGGATAGGAAACACCCCGATGGGTGGATTCGATGCGGACCCGAGCCAAGGCACTAGAACGATGCTAAGATTCGGGCGTTGGTCTCTGTAGTCTGTACCGTCTCCCGGAGTCTCCCCCGTCTGTTGCCTCAGATGTCTCTCCTCTTGACTCTGTTTGTTGTCTCTTGAACCTAGTTTACAGGACAAAGGGCTGTTGTCTGGGAATCAGCAAATCAGTCTTGCATCACCTCACCAATACCTACTTGTGAAGTTTGAGAGTTCTGATAAGATCTTGATGTCACATTCAAGATATGTACAGACAGATCCAACATGTAACAGAACATCCGAGGGCCCAACAGAGAGACAGCCATCATCCAATGACCACCCATCACACACACACAAAGTCCGTAAGCGTCAGGCGCAGTGGTTTCCATTTCGAGCGGGCCAGCGGGTCCTCGGGTAGACGACGAAGATCTTGGCTCTGTCCTTAGCGTCGCCGTTTGCTGCCAACCCTGGTCGCTCTTTTCGCAGAAGAAGCCATCTCGTTTCTCTCGTTTTGCTCGGTTTTCGTGTTACTAACCTATGGACTGACCAGTCATACGGCAGAGATGGCCGAGGGGAGGGTTGTCATGGATTTCTGGACCCTGAGACGGATGGCTGTCTGCCTGTTACTAAAGAGGCAAAGGCTGCTGTCCATGTTGCAACTTAAGCTCATATGTTTTCCATACATATATGTAGATGACGGGCCTACTCCACGTTTCTTACTACCTTTTGTGTTCGGGATCTGCATCTCGGGTCAATTCAGGTCCTTCTTTTCTGAACACGCGTTTTCGACAGCACTGTTGACTTTCCAGGCTCGAGGCAACAATATCAGATATCAAGACGGTGGGAAGATACGAAGACTCGGAATACCATACCATCTAACCAGACTTGCGATCTCGGAAACCTTACAAAGTTTCGCGTACACCCCGAGCCTCAACGAAGCCAGCCTACTTTGCTTAGCAGTACATCCAAATCGATCGTCATCATGTCGGCCAACGACACCACGACACGGCGGCCTTTCCGCGAGTGCACAGAAGTCTCGCAGCTTTGCCCCGTCGAGATGACAGTCCTGTCCTACTATCCCAACTTTGGCGCCAACATCTTCTTCGCCGTAGCTTTTGGCTTGATCGTGCTCGTGTCAGCAACCATTGGAACATGGAAGCGCACCTGGACATTCATGGCTCTTGTGACGGGCGGTTGTGTCCTCGAGACAGTTGGTACGGACTTCCCTGTCTTGCGTTTCCTCATACGCGAACCCATCATCCCAACTTACAACTGGATGAACCATGCCTCCGTGCCCTCAAACCCCATGCCAACATCATGAAGAATCTCCCTTTCTCACAACTAACATGACTCCCAGGCTACGTCGGTCGTACCCTCCTCCACGAGAACCCCTGGAACAAGGACGCCTTCCAGATGCAAATCTGCACTATCATCCTCGGTCCGACCTTCATCTGCGCCGGAATCTATTTGACCTTAAAGCACGTCTCCACCAACCTCAACCCATCCCTATCGCGCGTCCGTCCGCGTCTGTACCCGCTCATCTTCCTCCCCGCCGACCTCACCTGCCTCATCATCCAGGCCATCGGCGGCGGCCTGGCTGCCGCGGCGGGCCAGACGAATAAGAAGCTGCTAGACGGGGGAAACCAGGCCATTATCGCAGGCATCGTGCTACAAGTCGTTGTGTTGATGCTGTTCGGGATCACTGGTGCGGATTACTGGATCCGCGTGAGGAAGTGGGCTCATGGGGCCGATACTAGCGCCGGCGATGTCTCGTTGTACCATGCCAAAAGGTTCAGGTCCTTCATCTATGCTGTTACAGTGGCGTATGCTTGCGTGATGATTCGTTGTATCTACCGGTAAGTTAGGCTGGCGTACTACAAGAACAGAGCAAAGATAGGATGACTGACCATACTACAGTGTTGCTGAGATGGCCGGTGGATGGGGCAACCATATCATGCAGGACGAGGTTTCCTTCATGATTCTCGACGGCGGCCTAGTACTGATCTGCGTTACGATGCTTACGGCCTTCCATCCCGGTCTATTCTTCCCACAAATGGCGAACGCTCGTAAGGCATCCATCGGAGAGAAGTCGGAGGCGACGACGACATCATCACCCGAAAATACCAAGATCGAGTCTGGGCGCGAGTCCGCATGAAGAGTCGAAAGAAGGATTTTAGAAGAAGAACGAAGATGGTTATAGACGGATAAAGAAGGAATTATGGAAAGTCTCGACTCGACAGACGATGAGTTCAGCTGGGAATCGGCGCAAAGGCGCCAAATCTTCTCTCGAAGCCTCTTAGACTGTATATTTGCACTCTGTCAAAGGTATTGACAAAGCATTCAATGGATTTCAACTCTACCTTTCTATAAGCTTTGTTGAATGTTTTTCATGTCGACAGAACGAGTCTTACCAAGTTTATCTTTCAAGAGATCGAGTATAGATTTCATTGTTCATTGTCTGACGAACGATGCCTGTTCAATACTTAGAAAGTCTTCTTCACATTGCAGGTCACACCTTGACAGGTAATTGGCTTCTACATATAAGCTAGTTATGTTTCCTCGGTTCCTCCACGCAAAAGTTTCAACATACTCATCATCTAGAACACTGTCTAACAGTCAGACGTATTGTATCAGATAGAGAAACGCACCTTGTAAGTAACCCTCCTCGCAGCTTTGCTCACAATGTGCATCGCAGACGTAGTTCACTACATGTGCGGCATCTGCAACACTCGTCTAGGAAAACCATGCCGCCGAGTCCTCGAACAGTGTTCTGCCACCACCCTGAACGGCGAGAATCCCCAATATTGCGGCGTTCTCTACGACACGGTCCCTGGACCGTCCGCTTCTGATCCGGCACTCAATCCTTCGGGCCTCGAGTATGAAGTCTTGAAGACGGTATTGGGATACACCCTTATCGAGCCACAACACCGCCGTCCAAAGCCGAAGGTCATTCGATGCGACTTATGCGTGGATCATCTTGGGGAGAAGGAGGCTGAAGCGAGGGAGAAGTGGTGGAGGGCAGAGACAAAGGCACTGTCAGGCACTAGGAAGAACAAACGGCTTATTCCAGGCCCTTCAACTGCGGGATGGTCTGACATCTACCGATGAATTATTTCATTGTTCCGGTAAGTCCATTTTTAGAGAACTCTAAACGTCTAACATCCCAGCTTGACAAATAATTGGTTTTCACTCCTTGCCTCCCAGGTACCGATACACGACGGAAAAGTCCCGGCCTTTACACTCCTCCTCAGCCTCAGCAGAGGCATACACCTCAGTCGCCTTGCCCGCCAGCTCCAACTTGGCACCAGCCTCCCGCGCAGCAACGACAGCCAACCCAAGATCCTTGCGCATCAGCCCGATCCCGAATCCGCCCTTATAATCCCGCCCCGCGGGGCTTCCCTCGACGACGCCCTTGACGGGGTTATTCACCTCGCTAGGCCAGCACTTGCCCGTACTGACGTTGATCACGCCCGCGAGAACCTTGGGATCCAATCCCCACTTCATACCCAAGTTCATCGCCTCGGCCGTGGCAATGTTGTTGATGGCCAGCAGGTAGTTATTCGCCAGCTTCGCCGAGAGTCCCGTCCCCTGCGGTCCGCAGTGCAGCACGCGCCGCCCCATACGCAGGAGCGTCGGCTCGACGGTGGGGAGGTGCGTGGCGTCGCAGCCGAGCATGAAGGTGAGCGTGCCGGCCGTGGCACCAACGACGCCGCCGGACATGGGAGCGTCGACGAAAGTGCCCTGGTTGCTGGTCGAGGCCGAGACGGAGGCGGCGACCTCGCGGGACGAGGAGGGGTCGATGGTGGAGCAGTCTATAAAGGTGCGCTTGCGGGAGGGCAGGTCTTTGAGGATGGAGGCGTAGACTGCTTTGACGTGGGATGGCTCGGGGAGAACGGTGATGACAGTATCCTGGTGAGTTTTATTAGTATTCATGCCTTTGGTATTGAAGTTGAAGCTTGATGGGAAAATGGCATGAGATTTCTCGAGATCAGAAGACTTAGGAAGTTGCTTTACTCAGTGGACGGATGTAGGCCGCCTCATAGTTGGCAAAACAGTTTTAAGAATGCATCATACGAGCAAAGATGGTTCATCTTAAAAGATGGAAAAACGGAGCACGGCAACTTACAGCTTCAATTGACGCATCTCGTGCAGTGTCGACAACATCAACCTTTGCGCCGCCAGTCTGAGACTGGTCTATCTCCTTTGCCAGGTTGGAGACGGCATCCTTATTGATGTCAAAGATGCGAATCTCATCTTTGGGACTCAGTTTGGACTGAAGGTTCTTGGCCATTTGGTAACCCTGATATGGAACAGTCAGCTTGTTGAGAGTTCCAATGCCATTGTGTTTGAAGGGCCATACCATTTGTCCTAAGCCGATGAAGCCATAGCTCTCCAACCGCCGCCGCGTCGTCGCAAAGCCGCGCTGTTGTTGGACGAGTCTCGGCAGAACTCGCAATGTCGAAGCTGCCCGCATCTTGGTGAAATGAATTCCAATTTCAGAAAAGGAAAACCAACAGGTACTTGAGTGAAAGTGAAAATAGAAACAAGAGTACGCTCAAAACGGAAAGTTGTAAGTATTCTCAATGCTCTTCTTCAAAGTTGGAGGAGAGATGGGCATTCCAGCCGATCGTAACCCCAGCTTTCCACTTCCACTTCACCCGCTTGCGCGCTGCGGGGGAGCAAGCCAACGGTTATCCGGGGAGCCGGCCATTGCCGGTGTTAGCCACGCCCGCTCGTACCCCGAAATGATGCACGCGGGCGACCTTGGCCCCTCCCCCGTCATCCGAGACCTTTATCTCCCAACCCATGCATTGGCGCGTCTGCAGGAGCGGCCCTGGATGGATTGGAGAAGAAAAGAGTGGTTCCGCACCCCTTGCAGATGATGCTAAGAATACTGCATGGTATCAGGAGAGCGTAAGGATATAATACCGTCGCTGAAAGAGGTCAAATCTGAGCTCAGCTTGCTATTCATGATAGAAAGGTCAGTCAAAGAGATTTTTTTCTCCTCGAGACATCGTGAGAAATTTCTGATTTCTTATATGCCGTGGCATGTGGACCAAATGACATCAGTTTGACAAACATCATCTCCATCGCCGATGGAGACAGTTGAGACGACAATGGAGACTGAAGGGATAAGTGGTGGAGATTTCGGCGAGAAACTGACTCTTCGTCAAGGGCCTTCCATGAAATAATGGGACGTCTTACTGAGTAACAGACGGTTGAGCCATTGTATCCTCCCAGCAGCGCTTGGGACATGTTAAGGACAAGGACCCCGTATGGCCAACTTGCAGCATATCAGTCAGTCATCCACGGCCTATCATCATTTCATGTACTATGTAGACGAATACTACGTTGAAGATAGTTGTGGTGGAGTGAGTCGGACACAGGCCGAATGATACTGCCTGAGTCAACGAAGCATTCCGGTAGCTGGATTTACAAGTACATAACGTGTCATAGTCATGGCAGTTGGATATTGCACACATTCAATAGGTGTAACGACATAACATCCTTTGACTGTTTACGAGTGACATAATCGTCAACACGATAGCGCCTCGAAGAAGCATCTCTTGCAACGCATGCACCGTATCCCATTCGACGCCCAAAAGCAGAGAAATACCTAAACAATACATCAACTACAATTGCCTCAATCCTGAACCACGGCCTTACCATCCCGCGCATTCCCCCTTTCGCCGTAGAGACGATCTCAATGTACACTTATTTGATCCCACCCAATATTCCACAAGCAACGAGTGAGAAGAAAGCTGGCCCGAGTGCCCTCGGGCTCTATCTGGGTATGATGAGTAAGGCAATAAAACGATATAGAAAGGCTGCCGCCGAGTCCTCGCCCTGGAAAACGGGGTTGAGGAAGTCAGAATATCTGATATTCCACGACTGACTATCAACCTTTTCCACTGAAACCTAGAACCTCCGAAATGTTCCCGACACGTCAACTGACGTCTCAGAAAGAACCGACAAAGTACGAGAATGCGCTGCAAACTTGGTTAGCCGATTTCAGTTCCATGTGACAATGAGCAAATCAGAGATACATACCCGACGGCCAGTGACACGGCACTCAGACCAAACAAAGCACGGTTCCGTACGCGGAGCTTCTTGACCTGCACCTCGGTGGTCTTGGCCTTCTTCGACCGCGGCTCCTCGACGACCTCCTTCTCCTCATCCTCATCGTCTCCTTTTGAAATCTCCTGGGCTCCACGCTTGCTCTTGGCCTTGGGGCTGTCGACTCCTTCTGACTTGACGGCGGCCGCCTCGACCATTTGCTTCGCCTCCGCAATCATACGCGCAGTCTCCTCAGCAGATGGTGGCTCTGCGCTCAACAGAGGAAGCTCTAGTGACACGGCAGTGTGCTTGGTCTCGTTGCCGTCCTCATCCGTCTTGATATCTTGGTCGACAATGACCTTGGCCTTGGGCTCCTCTTCCCTGGCCTCGAATACAAGCACTGGTTCCGTCTCGACCGTCTTGACGATGGTCTTGATCTCCGCTTCGGCGTCCTTGTCTTCTTCAATAACGCCATTGACCTCCAGCTTAGTGGCAATTGTAGGCGTAGATTCTCTAGGCTCAACAGAGTCGGCCTTGGCCCTGCGCTTCCTGGGCGATCGAACAGGTCTAGGGAGTGTCGTGGCGGCGGCGGCCTTGGTAGGGCTTGCTGAGCGGCGAGATCGAGTGCTGCGAGGGAGGGAAGTCGGAGTGGGAGGAGCAAGCTGAGGGTGAGCCTTGAGGAGCTCGTACTTGGGGGGCGCCGTAATCTTCTTGGGAGGGCTATCGGGGGTGTTGGAAACGGCAATAGTGGCGGGATCCAGCAGCGCGCGGATCCAAGGCGCGACGCCGTATTCCTCAGCGAGAGTCAAGGCGTGGTCGGGGGGGATCCAGACGTTTCCAGCAGTCTCCTCGGGGCTGGTAGAAGCGAGAGACTTGATATACTTGCGTTCAGCCTCTTCCTCGGCGGCCTCGGCGTAGGGGAAAGTGGCCTTGAACATTCCTGTCGCAGACACAAAGCCATCATGGCTGCGTCGCATCAAGAAGTAGCTGTTAGGGCTGGACTTGAAGATGCCAGAGACGATGCCTTTGGGCAGGGGAGCGCGGAGGTGGGCATAGTCGAAGACACCGAGAGCAGCGCCTTCCCCGTCGGCCAGGTTGACCATCTTGGGCGTCAGCTGAGTCTGGCCGAGTCGACGACGGGCTACGAGGTCATCGTCTAGAGTCTGGTTAGCAAGCATAAAGCGCCAGGCGCAGTCAATTGTTCGTACAACGGGGCACATCCTCAGTCATGAGGGTGTTGCGCTTTGCGGGTAGGTGCCGCTCGTGAGCTGCAGCAGAAGGCATTTCGGAAGGGTGGGACGGAGCGCGCAAAGTTGGTGATTAAATTGGGTACGATCGGAGAAAGTTTGCGATGCGCGCTGGCGGCAATCGGGGAGTATTGTCTTCCAGGTCGCGTCGACTATGGGCTCGATCGGAGGAAGGACTAGATTGTCGCGTCAGTTTGAGTGCAGGTAGGAGCGCATGGACGGCGCGCAAAGAAAGAAGATGACGGTGAGGGTGTGTGTGTGTGTGTGTGTGTGTGGTAAATGTCGCTTACTGGGTGCTCGTTGGAGCTGACGGGAGCTGGCGATGGAGTTGGATCCTCGGAGCGCCGACGTGACGTGACGGGTCTGTCGCGTAAAAAAAGAGTGCAGGGGTGGGTTGGTGATGTGGTTGATGAAGAAATAAGATTATAATTGATTGTAGGCAATGGGAACAGCGATCCCGACTAGGACACAGGCACAAAGGGCAAAGCTGTCTCAAAGGATGGATCGAGGGGAAGAAAGAAGATGGAGGGAATGTGTGTGAGAGAGTGAGGTGTGGTAGTGGTGGTGTGAAGGGAAGAGGGAGGGACGAGTCGAGGAGAGGAGAGGAGAGGAAGGAAGAGAGGCGGCCGGGACGGAAAGAGCCTGAAGCTGGGTGATTTTTGCGCGCGCAAATTGGAGCAATAGGTACCTCACCACTCGAGTCTCCAACAGCGTGTCTCGTCCATCGGGGAGTACCAGCAGTGGCAGCAGCAGCAGCAGCAGCAGTGAGAGAAAGAGAGCTTCACCTCAAACTTTGGGGGTCCTCCTGCTCATTGGGTAAGATTGGAGGGAGGGGTGGAACTGCGGGTTCGGAAAGCGAAGCGTGACGGCGTGACCCTGACGCGGGAGAAGCCTGAGCTTCGAGAGCACGTAAAAGGCACTATTGGAGCGAGATATGCGACATAGGTCAATACTTACATTACAGCAGTAAATACAATTATTCAAGATGTATCTGTCTATCGCGATTGCCACTTGCCGCATTTGACGACCAGCACTCCCGGCGCTTTCCCCGGAAATGCAGTACGGATACATAGGAAGGTACCATAGATACTGCGTAAGGTCGGAAGAAAAGTCCCTGACTCCTGAGGAAGGAGGGAAGGAAGATTATCGATACGACGGTCCCTTCCTTCTTTGCCTTTACCCGTTGTGTGACCCATGTCGCGTCCTAAGCCAAGCTGAGAGAAAGTTGAGATTTTGACACTTTTCTGTCCCAGTGAGCACACGTTTCCTCAGAAGAGCTCTTCAGTCTTCCCCCCAGTCAGTCCCCAACAATTCTCGTCGCGAACGCGCAAAGCTTTGAACAACCTGGGCGCCGTTCGCAGTCTCCAGTCAAGCGGGGACAAACGAGCCACAGCCCACAGGCCATAGGCCATAGGCCACAGGCTTCTTCAAGCTCAAATGGGTCCAGTGTCTGTCTCTCTTCCCTTTTCACCATGGAGTATCCGTACTGCGCACTTCTCCAGCATGCCGCGCATGGATATCCCCCCTTTCAACTTTGCCGACACCCTTTCGTTGCACCGAGATTGAAAGCGGCGGCAACACCAGAGCCCGCAGCGCGGGGGGCCCGCACCCGGCTGCGATTGTGCCTGGCAACGGGCGAACTGCAGCTATCCCGCCTTCAGCCCATCATTCGACCACGTTTCCCCCATCCCGTGCATTGCAGTATCTACCTACAGTAAGGTATTAGCTGCAGCAGCTGCAGTCTAGTCGATAAGGCAAGAGTGCTCGCTCGAGTCTTGGGTTGGGTTGACACAACAGGAAGTCCATCCTTTCTGTCGCCAGGTGCCTAAGACAAATGAGGCCGATGGTCAGCCTCTAGAGTTCCTCATCTCGCCTAGGCTGAACAGCGAGAGAGACGGATCTAGGAACCAAGTATAATAGGATACTGCTGCCAGAGCAACAGCGTCAGGCTAGCTGATACACGACGCCCTTGTTGCTGAGGTTTTGGATGGCTTAACGGCCGGAAACCATTCAGAACTACACAACCGTGAGAACTGAGAACCTGGAAACGGGTGATGCTTCTTGATCTTCAAGATGACCTGAATGTTGATGGGATATCAGCTCAGTCTTGGTACCTGTTACATAAGATACCTTGTGGATGGTGCATAATTGTGCCTAACTCTCAACTCTCTGGTGCATAAAACCTCCTATGTCACAGTAATGCAAACAAGCCCGAGGGGTCCACTACAGAGAAGCTCTGGCCTCCGGCAACGATGCCGCTGCCAGCAAGCAAGCTCTTCAACACTGGCACACTACCTGCCTATTATCCATACACTACGGAGTACTTCACGGATGGCCCGCATGAAGCTTCTGCCACCTGTCAAGCATGGACTTACTACCTCTTACACAAGTGCTAAAGTAATCGAGCAAAAGCAAAGCGGGATCAAGTAAGCGGGCGCTCATTCTGTAGGTAGCAGTCTATCTAGTCTCGTGGGCAGTGGACTCAGGCTACTGAACTTTCGAAGTTCGTCGATTGAGCCCCTCGTCAGGAACCATTCCAGACCGCTCATCCAGCCGATGCACGCAAAATCGTGGTTGATATGGATGGATGCTCCCCTCTTATCCTCTCCATCCCGTATCGAGATTGGCTGCAAATAACACTTGGAGGGGCAGAAAGCTGCATAGCAACGTAGGTATCCGTATCTAGGTACGAAGTACCTGTGCAGCTACTTGGGCCTGCTAATGTACCTGGTATGGGCAATGTGGTACCTTACGGTAAGCTAAGGTCGCATGGCAGGGTCGTGATCGAGGGGCAGCAGCAAGCTTCCTTTCAGAGTGGTTGGATCTCTTAGGCTGGTCTTCGATCCTTCATCAAAGCTGTAGCAAAACATCATCAAAAGTCAGCATATTTACCTTCGTGCTCTTGAGTGATCCAAAGGGGAGGAGTACGAGGAGATACACAGGAGGGCTTTGGCGATTGTGCTTGGTTTCGTGTGTGAAGTTCCATCTTGTTCCAGATGTTGGCCAATCAATGCAGGTCCAGACCCATAAGTCTACCGGCCAATAGAATCTCCCGTTTCGTCCAGTCAAGGCCGGTCCTGAATCCATCAGAGCCCACTTTACAGCGCCCACAGTCCGCCGACTGGCCCTGACGCGGTGACGCTTCCCCCCAAGGCCCTCCCCCCCCCCCTGCCTCGTCGATTTTTGGCTGGGAAGAAGGCAGACCCAGCCAGACCTGAGCACAATGAGGGGCAACGGGAAGCGGTGACCTTTGCCGTGCGCTGCTGCTTTGCGGCTTGCCTCGTCTTGACTGGCCGGGGACAAGCCATGGCCTTACCTCAACTCCATTCGCCCTGACCTTACTACCATCCTACCTGATTCTCAACTTCTCTCCTCCAGAGTAAACATTGTCACAGCCTTCCAATCTACGGCCTCATCATATACGTGAGCTACTTTCCTCCCGTAGCCTCCGATACACCCGCCCCAAGCCACCTCAGCTTCCACAGCTCCAGCTCCAGCTCCAGCTCCCACATTTACCCCACCATCACCATCATCACCATGGCTTCCCACGAGCAAGAGGACACCATGCCCGAGGAGACTCAGGGCTACAAGCTCTCTCAGCCCAAGCAGAGTCTGGCTGAGTACCAGAAGATGGGTAAGTCTTTGACTGTGTATTGACTCTTGATCCCCATCTGGTTCCTTTCAGTTCTGGGTGCTGCTGTTTGGGGGCGGGACAGCTCCAGCTGGGTCCCTCCAGAAATGCCCCCTCACACCTTCCTTCACCTTGCCTTTGGACCGGTGTGTGCAAGATGTGAGCCTCTCTCATCTCTGCACTCACCGTGGTGACAGGAGATGGCATGCTCAACATTCATCTCATGGCACAATTCACCAAGAGCCGACAGGAGAGGAAGGCACCCTGCTGCTTGCACCTTCCGCATCCACGCCCACATCCACTCTGACACTCATACTCATACTCACACTTCACCTTCACCTTCACCTTCACTGCCTTTCAACCACTTTTGTCATTATCACCAGCACCAGCACCATCACTATCACCAACCTCAATTTTGACTTTGCCCTTGTCATCACTGCGATATCGATACCACAAGCATCTTACATGTGATATCCTCTCACTATCATGGAGGCGTTATATGAGGGTATGCGTCGCATGAGGCACAGGCGCAACCGCAATAACGCCCTCATCAACCGGAACTCCATTGAGCTTCCCCCTGCTCCCCTCTCGACTCCCTCGGGATCGCGTCCTCAGTCATTTAAGATGATGGAGGAGAGACATCTTCACCGAGCAAGAGCTCTATCACGCCCTGTTCCTCCTAACCCTCCCAACTCACCTCGCCTCCAAGAAAACATGCTCACTCAAGACCCCAACCTGATTCGGGACTTTTATATGTCTCCTCTTGTTGTCAGGGCAGCACATGGCCTAGCTGTTCTTGAACCCTTGGCTCTAGAACAATACGAGATGAGAGACGAACAGCCGACTAACAGCACAACAGACGAGAACGATGAGTCTCTCCAGCGCTACAAGGAGTCCCTCGGCCTTGGTGGCGGCAAGGACCTCTCTGACGCTTCTGACCCCCGTGTCTGCATCATCCTCTCCCTGACCATGGAGTCTCCCGGTCGTGACCCCGTCACCATCGACCTTGCTGCTCCCGGCTCTGAGGCGACCCTCAAGGACAAGCCCTTCAAGATCAAGGAGGGTGCCAAGTTCACCATGGTTGCCAAGTTCAAGGTCCAGCACGAGATTCTCAGCGGTCTGCAATACGTCCAGGTCGTCAAGCGCAAGGGTATCAAGGTCAGCAAGGACTCTGAGATGCTGGTAAGTCTTTCCCTCCCCCACTTTCATCTCAACATAGTGATACTGACTGTCATCTCTAGGGCAGCTACGCTCCCAACACCGACAAGCAGACTACCTACACCAAGCGCTGTAAGTCTCGCTCCTCAATCAGTGTCCTTTGATGCAGTAAAACTGACTCTTTGCATAGTCCAAGAGGAGGACGCTCCCTCCGGCATGCTCGCCAGAGGTCACTACAACGCCATCTCCAGCTTCGTCGACGACGATAAGAAGACTCACTTGACCTTTGAGTGGTCTTTCGACATTGCCAAGGACTGGTAGAGCAGACAAGGCCCTGATGGCTGAACTACACACACACACACACACACACACACTCTCTCTCTCTCTCTCTCTCTCTCTCTCTCTCTCTCTCTCTCTCTCTCTCTCTCTCGCCCTGCCACCATTCTCATAAGCCCGAAATGCTGTCTCGTCGCTCTCGTCTATAACTTAGTCTTCCGAATTCAATCTCTTTCCAGGAAGGAGAACCCGCGCATCGGCAGATTTGAACCCGATCACGGTTGGGAGGACATATGTGGTGGAATTCAAGGCAGGCATGCAGGACAACATCTCACTCGCTCACTCCCAACACGAAAAGAATACAAAAGGTCAAACTAGGTCACAGCCAACACGCAGGAAATATGAGTGATGGACCATGCTGATTCAAAGGCCCTTTTCTACTCTTGCTATACACAACACACACTCACACAAATTTTGCTCTCAACCTCATACACTGGTTATTGCACATGAAGTCACGATTACAAAACAAAAAAGTGGACGGTTTAGATGGCAGATACTTTTTTTTTTCTCGTTCTGCTGGGTCATCATCGTTGTTTGTGCCCAAGCTACCAAAAAAATACAGATCCCTTTGGATCCTCGTCAAATGTTCGTCTATGGGTCGTCCCGAGGCGTGAGGCGTAAGACGTGAATGACACCTTTTCAACGTACTCTAATCGTGGTGGTCTCTTCCACCTGGCCCTTCTGATAATGGCCTTTTATAAGGACAGTTTGGTGATGCACCTGAATCTGGGCTCAGACCACACGCCATTTTCTTACTCTTGTATAAATCATCCCCGTCTAAGATGGTCTAGGCATCGAACGCAGACTCCAGCCGCGTTACAGGAAGTAATCGGGAAGGGAGTTGCCATCTGCCTGCTTTTCTCCACCACCCAGCTGCATATCTTTATGCTGATCATTCTCTGGTGCTGCAGCAAAGACGTTGAAAAACCTCTCGCCAGTATCGCTGACCTCCAGAACACTAGCCATGTTTCCACATCGGTAGCAGTAATTGGGCGCACTCCATACTGTACTCAATCGATCGTCGTATAAAACTTGGAAGCCCTCCTGACACAGCTGGTGCGCTCTCAGAATGTGGTCCATGTTGTTCACAGCCAAGAACTTCTTAACCACTTGTGCGCCAAAAGTATAGCCCGCTCCACGTGGGCTGAGAGAGAACTCGTCGCGCTCGGGATCGGGGTCAGACCACACTAGGTCGGCCATGGGGCCTTCATGAGGAATCTCGCGGAAACGATCAATGATGACAATTTGGTCGATTGAGTGAATGGATGGGGAGAGGCCTGGAGCAATACATATTAGCAGACCGTCGAAACTGATAGCAGCGGCGTAGGCGCGCGCGTGCGTGGAGATTCGGGCTGCCTTACCGCCGTGGACACAGAAGATCTTGTCGTTGATGACCACGCTCAAGGTCAAAAAGTCAAACATGTCGGTAAAGTAGTGCCATACGTTGGCGTTTCCGTATTTTCTTGAACACTCGGTATAGAAGCCATAGGACTGAGTAACGCCGCGAGACTCGTGGTTGCCTCGAATCAAATGCACGCGATTGGGGTATCGAAGTTTCAAGCACACAAGCAAAGATATCGTTTCGACACTGAACATGCCGCGGTCGACGTAGTCGCCTGTTGGACAGCCGGTCAGTAAACTATTTGGATTCCCAACTTCCGATCCAAAACGTACCCAGAAACAAGTAGTTGGTGTCTGGACACCAGCCACCAATTTTGAAGATCTCTATCAGGTCGTAGAACTGGCCGTGGATATCGCCAACGACGGTGACGGGGGCGCGAACGTGGACGACGTTGCTCTCGCGCATCAGCAGCTCTTTCGTTTTGGCGCAAATGGCCTCGATGACGGATTCGGCGAGAAGTTCCCTCTTGTACAAGCGCGAGATGCACTCGTCAAGGTCGACGGAAGCTGTAGCAGCACAACATGATCAGAGAAGTTGCAGAACCTGGGGAACAAGAGCAAGTCTTACCTGGGAGCCCGGGCATCTTTGACGTAGTGGTATGCGACAGTAGCTGCGAGGCCGGTGGTATGTGGTTGATTTTGTGGTTGGTAAGGTGTAGCAGCACTACAGCGGAGGGTCGTCGCAAAGGTCGGAGGTTCAAGAAGCAGGTCGTCGTCGGAGACCACTTCTACTCAAGAGGCGGGCTATGTGTATTGGGGAGCTTCGTGGTTGTAGTAACATGATCGAGGAAGACGTGTCTTTACATGGGAGCAGAAAGCGCGCGGCGGCAGAATGAACAAAGCGGACGAGTTGAAGCGTAGGCTGGATCGACGAAAGATTTGGGGGGGTAATAGCGCACGCCTGTGTTTGGTGGGCTTTGAATCGTCGAATAGGTGGCTCAAGAGCACAAGAGAGGAAGACGACGAAGGGAAGCGACGTGTAGGTAGGTATGTAGGCCGTGGCGATGCCCTCGAAAAGAGAGCGTGGTGAGGTAAGGTACCTAAGCTAAGGCAAGGTACCTTAGTTATTCTTCAGTCGCCGTTGATTAATCTTTTTAGGATGGATGGGTGGCAGCTCTGGCGGCGGACAGCGAGGGGACGTCATGCTGCAATGGAAAGACGACGCCCATCTCAAATTGGAATCAGCTGGGGGGGGGGGGAAGCTTGGGCCCGGCTGAGAAATCCCATCCAAACATCAGACACTTCACCTGCTCACGTACCAGTCATGACAATGTACGTACTAGGTACGCAGTATCTACCTTACTTGTAAGGTAGCAAGTTAAGGTACCTTACTCTGTTGAGTGCCCTAGAAGACAGGATGTGATTGGATCTGGTCACGTTTTACCGCCCCGCGCGCAAACCTGGCAGTTGGCGGTCACGGCAGGTTCGAGGCGCTTACGTACACATCAACACTCTACCTAGGGGGCTGTCGTTCGCTACAGAGTACAAGCCCTGGAAGCGCTGGAACTGCACCGCGGCGCAAGGTGATGGATGGGCAGGAGGGCCACTACTGGCCAAGGAAGCCTGGACTTGCCAGGTCAGCAGGGGGGGGGGGCCTCCTGCAACGACTGGGCTCATATAAAGTCACCTTCCCCCCCCTTCATCGGGTTTGATGAGGCGGGTGCGCCCTTTTCTTTTCCTCACCTCACAGTTGCGTCCATACAAATTACCTCCACTACCAATCTGATGGTACACTATTCGTGCCGTTTCTAACGGTCCGACGAGCTTCCCCGTTCATTGTCATTTCCTCCGCCAGTCGCAGCTTTTGGCCTGCGATTTCAGAGAGTCAGACAGAATCCTGGCTGCTATTGAGAGCCCCGACACTGGACTGTATTTCGATACTTTATTTCCTTGGTTGTTTTCAGACGCGTTCATCATTCACTCATTGTGAGATGCTGGGCCGCCGACCCCGTTCGCTCAGATCAATTCCTCACCATCTCCAGGGTTCGAACATCACCTGGTGTCTGGATTGTCATAAGGAAGCAGCCATATGTTCCCTTCACCTTGGTTTTCCCTCAATTTCTCAGGCACCAACATCTCTCTCGTCTGCCAGCTGGTCTTCTTAGATGCTTCGCCCGTCTATCTATCTACCTTGGTCTCCATTTGAAATTAGAATACCTAGCATGTCTTTCATTTTCTGTCTTGACCGTTTCATCTCGCTCCTGGTTGAACTCGGATGCTCTGCGTCTGCGCGATGGATTAGCATCTAGATGTTCCCAGTTGATATATTCGTATCTCTACCTCTGCAAACCTCGCTCGAGCAGCTCCAAACTGCCCTTGAGCATAGCATCATGGTCTGCCAATCTAGCCCAATGACAGCAGATGCAAACTTCCCAAGATCTGGCCCATGACAGCTTCTCGACTTGAAGACAAAACCAGTCCCAGATGTCCCAGGAGACTTGTCATGTAGTCACATATTGCCCCCTTAGATCCTAGTCCTCAGATGATCTGGATGCACAAAGACAGTGCGTGCTTCATAACTCATGCATGACATGCCAGCTGTGGTCTTTGAGACTGCAGTCTGCAGGTCGAAATACGCCCCCCCACAAGGCACGAGACATGTACGACATGCAGGAAACCAAGGTGTATTGTCTGTCAGCTAATTGCTGCCTCTTCCCAATGTCGTCGAGTCTGGCTGGACCACCTATGTCTTCTGCCTGTCCTGCCTACCTGACCTGAGGTGGCTGCCTTCCGAAAAAAGAAAACATGACATCCGGCCCGATAAACTTCCGGCCCCTTTCAGCCTTCCGCGCGGAAGGAGTTGCCGTGGGTGTTCAGCTGTGCCTCACTGGGCAGGTGCATTTGCCCCACTTTACGCCTGAGCCTAGGTGGGCGCGCAACCTTCGTCTTTTGGTCAACTTCGTCGCGCTTTCCCACAACCTCATCCCAGTTGCCCCCTCCTGGAATGAGACAAAGCCCACGATAGTCGCCTGGTTTAGGCCTCGCCATCAAGAATCCTCACTTTGGAGGCCGGCCTGCGGCTTTCATCGCCAACTCATCGCACCTCTCCCCTCATAGTACGGTCATCCACAGGCGATGCGCCACTCCAGACTGCCTAGGCGCATCCACTAAAGACCTTTGAAGGCTTCGCACTATCCGTCACCTTGATTAACAGACTGCCATCTTGAGTCTCGGTCAAATCAAGAGATTATCTTATAGTTGCCACTACCTACTCTGGTGTCGGCCAGTCTCAGGCCTCTCATTCACCTGCTGTAAGCACAGCGCGAACATCAAGGTTTGCGTCTCTGACTCTCCTTTCCCGTCTTTGGCAAGCACCCTCTGATATATCAAGTCTTCTCTTATTCAGCTCGTGTTGGCAACCTATTCCGACCTATCTTTGCTACTAGTATAAGCAGAGATACCTCCACCTTTCTCTGCTTTCTTTCCCTACTGGGCCGCTTCCGGCTCATAGTTGCTATCCAGTTTCTCGTTACCTTGGTCGCGCTACTCCTCCCAACACTCTCATTGATCCCCCCTTCTGGGCCTGGGCCAAAGCTGTACGCCAACCCGAGAGCCGAGGCACCCTATCATCAACCATGGCCGACCATGCGCCAGGGATGGGGCCGTCAATGAAAGAGCCAAGCTGCATCAATTGCGGCGGCGTAGGACATTGGGCCGTAGCTTGCCCGGAGCCTGTCAGAGCGAAGCCCGCGTAAGTTTCGTGATGCAGAGTCTTCTCAGACATGACGACAACTGTCTCTTTATTCAAGTTTGAATCTTGACTGACTCGACCAAAGTGGATTGTCCCGGAAAAATACCTCGAGTGCCCATGATCACCATGGCCGGGGTGGTGAACATCAACACGGCGCACGCCGGCCGGGGGCTGTTGTGACCAAGTACTCGGCCCCACCAAGCGGCAATCCGATCGTCACTCGCTACGCTCCGCCCCCGGGTCAACCCCATGCTCCTCCGTACCCCGGCCCCCTGCCTTCATATCCGTCATATCCTCCACCTCCGAATGGCTATCCTCCCCCGCCAACAGGGAACTACCCCGGCTATTCCCAATATCCCCCGCCGCCGCCGCCTCCCCCGGGTGCCCACCCACCACCTCCCGCTCCTCCTGCACCGTACCATTATCCACCATCTGGCCAGTATGGCGGGCCTCCACCTCCTGGTTCTTCTGGTCTGCCTCCTCCTCCTTATCAGCCACCACAATTTGCTGGCAGTGCTCCTTATGCTGCTCCTCCTCCTCCTCCTCCTCCTCCTCCATCTTACTCTTCTGGCCCTGGATATCACCCCGGTCCTCCACCTCCAGGCGGCCAGTACCCGCCCTCATATAATTCAACACCTCCGGGAGGCTATCCTCAGCCGCACTATGGGTCTCAACCGCCCCCAACATCAAGTTCTTACCCTCCCTCATGGGGACCGCCCCCTCCAGGATATGGTCATCCACCTCCCTTGCCTGGCCCTCCCCGCTCTACACCCCCGGGGCTCCCGCCAATTCCTCCTCCGAGGAACCAACCGCCGCGGGACCGAAATGGGCGACAGCGCCAAGGGCATAATAATCGAGATCGTTCTCGCCGAAATAAACACGGCAATCAGTCGAAACGAGATCCTTCACAGCCAAGACCAAAGTCGGAAAATAAAGCCAGGCCAGGGCCAACACTGCCACAACTCGAAGCCGGATCAAAGGCTGTCGAGACGCCATCCGTCGCGAGCGATACACCTCAAAGCACAAACATCAACACTGCTTCGGAACAGGAAGCCGATGAAGAGTACGATTGGAACTGGGAGGAAGAGATGATCTTTAAAGAACTAGAGAAAACTCACCAACCAGACCCGATCGCCATGCCACTACCGGGACCTGAGGAATACCACGATAACATTGTGCTACCTCCGGCGTGGAACGCCACCTGGATTCAGTCTCGATTTGCAAAAGAGGGCAACCTCATGGAATTCTCGCGGCCGATACGAGAAACCGAGTTCTTCGTCACGTTGCAGTATGATCCAGCGTTCTGGAAGTGTCCCGAGGGCAGTGCTCCCAAACAACCCCCTGAGCCACGAGAGAGGCCCAGCACGTTCAAGTCTAGTCGCCTTCCAGGGTTTCCATCTCTCCCACCCAAACCGCCTACTCCAGAAAACCGTGAATACCGTCTGGTCAATAATCGAAAGCGGACTTTGGACGAGTCGCCATACAAGAACCCTCGAGCTAGGGGCGGCCCAGAAGGTGGCGAATGGGCGGATCATCGTTTAAAGAGGCACAAGGTTGAATCACTTCCCGGCTACAATGCCACCTCACCGCACAATCGGAGATCCAGGGAGGACTCGAGACCGATGGATCGCTATCGTCACCAAAGACCAGAACGCACTGATTCCGATCCAGGCCAGACGCTCCTCAGGTCCTTGGACGAGTCTCAAGATGCCGGCCCATCAAGGCGATTTGAAGACGCGGGTCTCCAAGACTCGGGATACTATAGCTCTCGGAACGTTCGCAGACAGACATCGACCAACAATTTCCAGGAAAGGGGGGCATCGCCACCTGTGCTTCCTCGCGGAACATCACGACTAGATAGCCGGCCGCATAGCCGACAGGCGTCTCGATCTCGGTCTCGATCTCGTCACTCCCGCCGCCGTGGATCTCACAGCAGCCGTGATGAATCACGTCCAGCTTCTAGGCAATCTGCGGCGTCCTTTGGTACTGACGCATCGGAGTTATCTGCACTAGAGGCCGAACTCCTCGGCATTGCTCCCAAGTCCAAGGGAGACCGAGATGGGAAACCGGATGGCTTGAAGATGCGCAAGCGCGTCACCAAGGTCGATTCGGCTTATAGGTAAGTTTCCCTCCATCAGCTATCAGTGTTGCCTTACTGACCCGGCATCGAAGTCGGCGATGGTGATTTCCTCCATAGCTTCCGTCCCTGGGGACGCACTTTCAGGGCTCAACAAAAGCACGACATATGGGCGTACGAGCAATGCTCTGGCCGTAAACACGCAGACAGTTTCTGCGCAATTGTTCGCGTCGTTACACTTTAAACGGCAGCAGCCTAGACATAGAAGCAACCGCAATAATACGTAAAAGTCTAGCGGCATAGCATCAAAATCCGGCGTTGGGATGGAATGAATTTGGCGGCCGAGGATTGGATCTTCGGTCTGGGAAAGGGCGTCATGTGGGTAGAATACTCGTTGAATCATTGACAACCATCTTGTTTCTTGTAATAGACGCCACACCGTCCATCCCCTATCTTTCTGTGTATGTATGGCCGAGGGGGGCATGCGAATGGCCAGACCAAAATCAAATTCTTGAGAGAATCGCAATGTTTCCTCCACCGCCATTGGTCGGAAGTGTTTAGTTTCCTGCCCGTCTGACACAAATCCGGTGTCAAGTTATTGCAAGACCGAGCAGAAGGGATATGGCCTGTGCATCAGAAGTCTATCCAGCTTCGGACGAGGGCAAAGTTTGCCTCATAGCGTTGCCTGTTTAGTATCCTCGGGTCATTTTGTCTGTTCGACTTTAAGCATCTGCCTTGTCAGGTGAAGGAAGTATTGGCGAAGAGATCCGATTGACAGATTCACAAACTATGAGGTTTATTTTGTTGACCATGTCACATAGGGTCACATCACAGCGAGAGTGTAGTAGAAGTTTTTCAAACTCCGATCGGCGTCAATTGCCTATGGAAAAATGACGACCTAATAAGAAAAATAGTATGTAGGAAATAAAGAACGGTCGTTTCCAAAAAGCTCTATACCCAAGTCTGGAATTCACCGAGCCTTAGAAGTCCCTGACTTCCTGCAGCGTCGATCAAATCCCCCAAACTCCCAGGTTTGACACACCGAAAAGATCCTCATCAAAGAATCGCTTGACAAGCCGCTTATGCGCGGTTGTTGAGCTCCATGCGCTTCTTGAGGCGGTAGGCAACGGCGCGCTTGCGGCCAGCGGCGGTCTGGGTGAAGGCAGCAGAGCCACCGAAGGGGCCGGCACCAGCACCGTTGCGGACACGGACGACGCAGACGTTGGAGGCCATGCCGACCTTGCCGTCGCAGGTCATACCAGCGGGCATCTGGACCTTGATGGGGAAGTCGGTGTTGGTGGCGAGGGACAGACCCTGGACGCCGAGGCCCGGGACGTCAGTGGTGACCTGAGCGCTCTGGAAAGCCTCCTCCTTGGTGCCGCCGGAGGTGCCGTCGACATCGGCGGTCATGGGACCGGCGCCATCCTGGTTGATCTGGCGGAAGGTCATGGAGATGGTGCCGTCGTCGGCGCAGGTGGGCATGCCCTGGGAGGCACCCATACCAGCAGTGGCGGCGACGCGGGCCTCGGGGGGACCGTTCTGCTTGTTGCCCTTGTTCTTGCCACCGCCGCCGAAGAGGCCGGCGAGACCCTGGCGAGCGTAGAGCTCGGCGCGCTTCATGTTGGGAATGTTGTCCTCGACACCGGTGCCGGATGCGGCTCCGTTGTTCTTGGGGGCGGCAGCACCACCCATGAAGTTGTTGACCATCACGGAGGCGTCAACGGGGCCGTTGCCCTGAGTGCGGCCAAGAGGGCCGACCTCACCAGAGGCGATCTCGCGGTCACGGATAATGGCAGTGTCGGCCTGGGAGCCGCAGCCGTTGGAAGAGCAGTCACGGGGAGTTCCATCAGCGACTGAAGGGGCGAGTGAGTTAGTCATTTGTGTGTTGTATAGGAAAGAGCAAGCCATGTTGCCCAGGAAAATGGTGAAGCTTACTGGTGAGACCGGGCATGGTGACGCCATTAGCACCCTCGACGGACATCAGCGTGCCGTGAGCAGAGACGGTAGCAGCCAGGGCGGCGACGAGGAGTGATTGGGAGCGCATTTTGAATGAGAGATTCGAGCTTGAGGAAACTGGAATGAATCGGAGTTTGTTTTTAGAGATTAAGAGATCCTATTCGTGAAGAGCCACCGGGGCTGATATAGGTAAGGAAAGTGGAAAAGGTGAAGAAGTGAAAGGCTTGCTTTGTTGATGCTGTGTGATGAGGGTAGGAAAGAAGGTTAGATTTGATGGTGTGGACGGGACTGTTATATAGAAGATCTCGACTGGACTTGCTTGGCATTCCATATCATGGTCAGGGGGGACGAATTTGACAAATTCCTTGGGTTGAGATGGGATGGATTTTGGGTGGGAGGTTCGGAATCAGATCGTTCCATGCTGGACCACCGTCGTAGCAAGCAAAGCAACGAAGCAGTGCGGTGCAGGCAAAAGACAAGGCAAGGCCAGGCGGGTGGGCAAGCAAGCAGACGATGAGGCTCCAGGGTCTGTTCTCAGCTGAACCTCACCTCGCCCTCACCTCACCTCCTTCTCCTCCCACACACGCGCGCGCACACACATACACAGAGGTACATTAGCGGCAGCAGAGACAGAGACTCGCCCTTGCCGGCCTACCTTGCATCCCCGATCAGACCTTGCACCCTGCAACCCTTCGTCAGTGTCAGTGTGTTCCCAATGGCTAGGACCTTGAAGCCGTCAGTCAAAGTCGACCTCAAGCATGGCTCGGTATCGCGTCGGCTCAAGTAGCATAGAGAAACAAGAGGAGGGGCGTGAGTAGACTGGTTGGGGGTGTGTAGACCTCGGATTCTGTCCTTTGATTGACTTCACAGCTGAACGCGAGGGAATTGGAATTGTGAAAACCCTCCACCGTGATTCAACCAGGTGGAGTTGGGACGACAAGACCACGGCGACGTCGGAGGCGGGTCACTGGACGGTAAGCGTCGACATGCGATACGAAGGAGGCTGGGGTTTAGAAGTTGAAGCATCACAAACGGATCGCCAAGAGGCAGCTCAGAGCAAATCGCATCTACGTTGCTGGAGTCATCTTCCAGAAAGAGAGACGTGGAAGCGTCCCGAGAATCCACCCGCCCACATACAGATCCTGGGGGTGCTCCCAGGCTTGAATGGGTTGGGACAACTGCGCCTCGTTGGCCGTGGTAGGGTAGTTGCTGCGCGCCTATGTTTGGTGGTGTACGGCGTGTTTAGGAGACGGAATGATTTGAGTGATGTGCAGTTTGGATGTGCGGCGAGGGGCTCGCGATGTGGAGGATGCGCGAGGATGTGTCGATGTGCTGCCGGGTTGCTAGCTCCACGCTCGAGCGAGGCTCGAGGGGGAGAGACGTCGAGGGACGATGTGTGGGATGTGAAGTTAGGTTCTCGGGTGCATGAAGCTTGGCGAATCTTCGCTCGCGAATCTGTTTCAGTGGAGGTCTTGGCGACGAATGGCCGTGCTGTGCCTTGAAGTTGATTTGAGTGACGATGTGAGAGGAACACAGCAACTCAGGAACACGCGCGTGGCTTGTAGTCAGCAAGTCAGTTTTTAGGTGTAGGGGACGCACGAGAAGAGGCAATCAGAGTTCCGATTGGTTCAAGAGTCAGGAACATGATGCAGCCTTCTTACGGTAGCCAAGAAGTTTACGGTTTCGGTGATCGGACTGGGATGCTTGGGACCTAGGGAAGATCTGGAGTCGCCAGGCCAGAGGCGGAGGGGAGATCTTCTGTGGCCAACTACGGAGTACGGAGTACTGTGAAATAGAGTATCTACCGTGATGTTGACAGGGACTCTCGATGCGCAACCGTTGAGCTCCGTTCGCTAAGCCTTCGAGGACCCGTTTATTTCCCCTGGCTAAAAGTCTTGGTAGTAAGGATTTGTATCGCCTCAGCCCTGAAGCAGGCCTAAAGAGTCTCCGAGTCCAGGCTCGGAAACGCTGGTCCACGTTTGGGAGTCAGGAAGCGCGGCCGTTGCCCTGACCGTGTGTACGAACAGTAGTCCTTTTTCTTTGGTTACGGAGACGTACCGTGGGCTGATGGTGATGATTGTGGTTTTACGCTTGATCAGTTGGCGCCGGATGCATGTCAAAACCGGTAGCCCTCTCCACATCCGGGGTTAGAGAGAAACACGGTCTCGGGGTGCTCGAGTAAGCCTAAGATGAGATCTGCTGATGCCACAGCAGTCTAAATCGGCGATTTTGGAGTGTTCGTGTTCCTCCGGCGGGCGATCACCCGCGATGTGCGTCCGCGATATGCACCCGAGTTGTGCGAATGGAAGGTTTGCCTGTCGGCACCATGGTACGACTATCTGTTTCTATGGATCAAGGAGGGGTATATGGTGAGCAGAAAACCTTGTGGTGATGAGGCTGCTGCGTGGTGACGAACAACGAGCGAAGCATTGCATGAGAGATCGACTTAAGATCCCGCCGTTGTAGCCTGCACTAGAGCAAACGGTAGAACGTGGCATGCAGCAATGGAAGATTTCTAGCGGGCTTGGAGGGCTGTATGTCAACCAGCAGTGGTGTATCCGTACGGAGTAGACACGCTCTGTGCCTGTGGCTCCCCTTTCTGATGGGTGGTATGTTAGGTATGACAGACAGCTGCGAGTGGTTGTCAGTGCTCCCTCTTCCACATAACGAGTCTGACCTGAGGCGGCTGTGTGACCAAAGGAGAGCGAAAGAGCGTCCGAGTTACGTCGGGCCGTGCGAGGGATGCAGTTGTTTCTTCAATGTGGTGGCTAAGGTGCTAGTGTAACTATGTGAGTAAGAATGTAAGACAGGCGGCATTCGCAAAGACACGGAGAAGCAGGCCCGGCCTGAGAATCACGCGAGCGCTTGTATTCGGAGAATTACGGCGGGAAATAGAGGAGACTAGGAGGGGGGGCGGGGGGCAGCAGATCTCATCACCTCAGCCAGGCGTAGGCATGGCAGGGTTTGTAGGTGAATCAAGGATAGCAACGTACCGAGGACCCCTGCTTGAAGCTTGAAACGGGAACCAAATTTAGAGACAAAGCTTGGACTGTTTAAGCTCGTAGCTTCCGAGGCAGCGGACAGCCAACT